AGGAATTTATAAAGTCTGAAAGCAAGACGTCCTCTGATAACCGAAATTCTCCTGTTTTGTTCGGCTCGAAAAATGACATGCCAGAAGTAACAACAGACCAACTAATTCATCCTCGCCACTCTCTATTTCCTCGCCTTTTCGATTCTCGTAATCGGGAAGAGTCAGCTTCATTCGATGACGCCTTAGCTCAAGCACGGAGAACTAAATTAATGGATTGCGAAGGGCCTGTTGAAAGAGCCCAAAGTTTTATGAATCAGTCTAGAGGGCTCCTCAGCTACTGGGGATCTGAAGAATCAACCTTTGATGATGGTTATCTGGAGGATGATGAAGGTGAAGCCTTTGAAAATGAATATGAAGAAGGGGAGGATTATGAAGAGTATAGCAGATCAGCAGAAGGCTCTGCTTGCCACCTGATGCGACCGGATATGGTGGCTTCGGATCCAGAAATTTCTCATGATTTTATAGGTGACAGAGAATCATCGGAGGGACCCTCATTGCTACCACATGGAGAGGTACTTCAGCTGGTCAGAAGGACCTCTGTCTCTTTCGCAAATTTAACGTCATCTGAGAGCGCATTTCAATCACCAGATGGAACAGTAGGTCATTTAAAACAGAGGTCTTCCGCCTGTGGCATACAAACATTTTCTCAGAATATTACTAACGATTTGGATCGTGAAGAATCGGCTCCTAGCGATGGTGGAGCTGTCGCGTCTTCCTCCACTACTGCTACGTTTTTTCAACCTAAATTGGTGCCAGCATTAGGTTCTCTCAAACCCGTCTCTGCCTCTGCTTGTCACACCAACAGAGACAACAGCCATCTTAGAACAGCACGGAGTCAATTCAAGCGGCCTCGTCTGAGGCACTGCGTATCAGCCGAAGCAGCTGCTTCCGTCACTTGTCAACGAAGACAGAAGCGTCGTTTACGCCAACGCACTTCTTTGGATCGAGTAAATCAATCAATTCTTAACAGATATTAATATGCCATATTCTTTCGTCCTATTTCTTAATGATTCTTCTTTGCTCATTGAAAATTCAGTCTAATGAATATATTTAAATACATGTATCTCGTTTCTAGCTTTATTATGAGCAGGTCATTTAAGGCGTAGATTGTCATCTAAACCTAATTCTTCAGACTTTGACGTCTATTCCATTTGCAGCTATTGAATATTTCATGTATCAATTTTTTATTAAACTCCTTTTGAATAAAGAATTTAGGATAAAATGAAGTGCTGCATGTGCTTATGTACATCTTAAACTGTTGTCTATTTAATATTCATATTTCTTTTTTAAATCAGATCAAAACGAAGTTGCTCACCGTAAATTCTCATTCATAGATTTTTCCAAACCGTGGCTTGCGTCTCCTTGCGAATCGGCAACAATGTCTTGGTTGAGCGTAATTATGTCGAGCCTTATTTTTTATGCCATACTGCCCTTTGATGCACTACGTTCACATTCTCGTGCGTCTTTCCTTATTTCTATTTTTATCCTACTGCTCACCACTCCGTAAAGTCATCACTTCAGCTGGACGTGCTAGGCTTTTTCTACACGTTTCCGGTCTCGTCTTTCTTTACGAATCTCGGATTTCTTGTCTATCCTTCCGATTATTTGTAACTTCGAAAATGATTCCAGATAACATTAACACCATCTTTTGCCAATTACGTCCTTCTTATATGACACTATTTTATACTTTCATCCTTCAAAGACAGTATTTACAAATTGACTACCAAGATCATTTTATTTACTCCATAGCTTCCTCATTTTGCATACCCTTTCGCTCCCCTTTACACTACAAGCGTCAAGTAATGTCCGATCCTAGACCATGTCATTTTGTTATACAGCTATTTAAAGCATAAGATGATCGGGTCTTCTCATTGGCAGTCCATGTATAGACAACGCGAACGTAAAATATAAGTTATTTGACATGTGGCTTATTTTATTTCGTTAGGCCTTTTATGAAAATTCGGATTCAGACGATTTGTCCGTTTGCCCATGAGAAACCAAGGTTACATTTTTTTCTTTTATAAGTAGCTTTTCGAGACTCCTAGTATATCATTTATATGAGGTGTATTCTCCTTATTTCGTTTAAGGTGATAAGGGGATTGGTAGTTAAACTTTCTGACAATGATCATAATGGGCTCTACGTTTCCATTGGATTTCATATAGTTTTGTTTTCCCAAAAGGTGTTATCATCTAGTGTAGATTGTAATTTCGACCCCGGCGGGGCTCGAACCATGACAGTACACCGTATAATCTCGATGTGTTAACCACTACGCCAGTAGTTCTCTTGGATCACAAGGCAAATGTGAATTGCGCAGTAGGCCACCACAGGATGTAATACGGGAAAATGCCTAGCCTCCCTTGAAATTCGCATACATCCTGTGACCCAAAGGCACTCGTATAAAACGCTATGTCGTGGTGATTTACACGTCAAGATTATACGCTTTACTGCCTTGGTTAGAGTCCCGCTAGGAATGTTGATAAGATTTAGACGAGGTCGAAACTGCAGTTCACCGTGGATGAGAATACCTTTTGCGAATAAGGCTACATTAAATTAATGGAAACGTAGGGCTTGCTCAAATCACTGTAGGAAAATTAAGCTACCAGTCTCTTTATCACCTTAACGAAATAAAGTTAACAAAGAAGTTTAAATTGCTTTTGACACAGCTGGGCCTCTATTGTGTCTGAAATTATCAGAACCAGAGTCTATCCTAAAGATCTAACAAATAAATTGTCTCGCATCCTGTTTTGGCCAGCATTCCTGCTGTTTGGACTATCCATTAATTGATGTTAAAATTTCCCTCACGATCGGCTCAAGGTCTTTGTTTCACAGTACCACTAGAATTCATTTCGTGTTTTCTATTCTGAGGGTAGGATTGAGGGCTATTAGCCCCTTATAAGGCACCTAAGAGGTAGTCGCCACATTGACCATTCCCTTGGTACTTTCCAGGGACGATTAACCCGGATTGTTTCGCGACGGGCTGGGGCGATTGTGGCCAGCGCTGTTTCGGTGGATTGATGAAGAGTCTAGCTAGTACACAACTAGTGAATAACACAGGAGTGCATAACAAATTAAGTGGCAGGATTTAGTCCCTTCTAGTAATTCCTAGTGAGTGGTGTCCTCCGAGACCAGTTAAGTGGTAGTAGACCCTCATAAATACTCGATACATTCACTCGTCAGACCTTAACCAATTATAACGTGCCAGCCAAGAGACACAAGTCCCCAAATGTCATGTAAGATTTAGTCAATTAGCTGACTACTTGATAAATTAACGCATCGGACAAAATTCCAAATTTTTCAATTTGAGGCTTCGAGATTATCAGTAACGTTTGAATAATAACTGAATTGATATGTATATATATATAATGCTTAAAGATAATAATAAGTAACACATTTGATTTGGATTTAGTTGTCAAACAACAAAAAAGCAGTGTCATGACTTGAGATGACTCTCTTGTGTCTTACTATCTGTAAGCGAGTCAGATGATGGATTCTTGATTTCTGATA